TTACCTCAGCCACTCACACCTCCATTACCTCAGCCACTCACACCTCCATTACCTCAGCCACTCATACCTCCATTACCTCAGCCACTCACACCTCTGTTACCTCAGCCACTCACACCTCCATTACCTCAGCCACTCACACCTCTGTTACCTCAGCCACTCACACCTCCATTACCTCAGCCACTCACACTCCATTACCTCAGCCACTCACACCTCTGTTACCTCAGCCACTCACACCTTCATTACCTCAGCCACTCACACCTCCATTACCTCAGCCACCATTTAACTTGTTCTTGTGATAGAACATTTTCAGATTCAGCATGAGTGAGATGGTAGATATTTGTCTTTTTGTTAAAGATTAATTATTTTTATTCTAAGTTCTGTATGGGATTATACGTACATGAGCACAGGTGCCCTTGGAGACCAGATGTAAAAGATCCACTGGAGCTGGAGTTACAGGCATTGTGAGCTGTCGGGGAACTGAACTCCGGACCTCTGGAAAAGCCATCCCAGCTCTTAGCCTCTGAGCCATCTCTCCAGCCCCACCATTTGTCTTTGTGTCTTTAGCTTTTTTCCCTTGTTTTCCTCCATGTTCACCCATATTGTAGTAAAGGGTTGGATATTGTTGCACTGTGTCCGTGAACCTCATTCTGGATTTGCTTTGTCCATTCATCCTTTGGTAGGATGGCATATCACAGATGTGTAAATTATTCTGGAATAAATGTGAGAGTGTAAATGTCTCTTTGAGGTACTGATTTGATTTCCCTTGTATGTGTTTACTCAGTAATAGGAAGGATGGATCATGTCACAGTTCTAATTATAATTGTTTGATGATCCACAGTATTGTTTTCTATAATGACTGTATTAATTTACATTCCCTCCAGTAATATGCTTTTTCCATCACATTACCCCCATTATCTTTTCTTTTTAATAATGGACACTTCTTTTAAAAGATGTATTTATTTCATTTTTTAATACTTGTGTTTTGCCTTAATGTCTGTATGTGCACCATGTGCATGTCTGCTACTCAAGGAGGCCAGAAGAGAATGTTAAATCCCCTGTAGTGACAGTTATGAGCCACCATGTGGGTGCTGGGAATTGAACCCAGGTCCTCTGCAAGAGCAACAAGTCTTCTAAACCACTGGGCCACCTATCTCTCCAGCCCCCTGGTAATTGACTATCTTACAAGGAATGAGGAGGCCTCTCATTGTGATTTTAATGTGTATCACCCTGATGCTTATTTTTCATTAACCTCTAATAGGCCACATTGATGTTCCATGAGGGGAAATGTCTATTTCTGTGTTCTTCTGTTTCTGAATTTTCTGCATTCCTTTGCTGTGAAGGAGTTTAGATGTTAACTCCTTGTCAGAGGTACAGTTTGCAAATATTCTCTCCCATGCCCTACATTATCCCTCTTCTCCTGATTGTTTCCTCTGCTGTGTAAAGTTTTTAGTTTGATTTGTCCATTTTCCTTTTGTTACTTGTGTTTTTGCAGTGCTACCCAAAACGTCCAGTGTCATAGAGGCTTTCCTGTATATTTTTTTCTAGTAGTATCAGTTTAAGTCCTTACATTGTAATCTGTTTTGAGTTGACTTTGCATATGGTGTGACTGAAGGTCTAGTGTCATTCTACTGCATGTTAAAATTCAGTTTTGCCAGCAGCACTGATTACAGAGGCTAGCCTGGGACTTTGAGCAAGCCTCCTCCTTCTGTGTGCCCAGTGCTGGAAATATAGACCTATGTCACCACCACTAGCAGGACTTCCTGTTGGCCTTCAGGATCACAAGCTTCATGAAACAAAGGCAGTCATAAATGTCATGAGGTCACACCCTGAACCATCACAGACATGTATAAATGTGGGCTGGGGTGATGGCTCAGTGGGTACAGTGCTTGCAAGCGTGAAACTATGCAATGCCAGATGCAGCAGTGCATGTCTCTAATCCCAGCCCTACTACTGCAAGATGGGAGGGAGAGACAAGAGAATTCCTGGAAGGCTAGCCTGCTGTATGCCGAGTCAGGAAGGAAGGAAGAATTAAGAAAGAAGGAAAATTTGTACATGAATTTTGTGGGGTGACAAAAATATTTAATTTTACAAGATTATCAAATGTGTACTTGAGAGTTGGGCATGGTGGTGCATGCCTGTAATCTCAGCATGGGAAATGGAGGAAGCAAACAGTATCAAAGTGTATTAAACCAAGGCTTAGACCTGTTGATCTAGAGCACTGGTTCCCCATTTGGTGATGGCTGCTCCCTAGGCCAACATTGTAGGGAGTTCTGAGGATGTGTGTGCTTCTCAGATCTTGTGTGTAGAGGTTGATACTGCCAAAGGTTGTACAGAGCACAAGATAATCCTCCCGCACACCCCAACACAGAATAATTATGTCAACATGCTGAGATTGAGAGACCCAATTACAGAATTAAGACTTAGGACACCTGGAATGAATTTAATATTATTTTGGGCGAAATATCCCATAATTATGGGAAAAAATGAAACAAATCATACTCACATCCTGTGACAGAATGTTTTGTACCTAATTATCTTCATAAAAATCATGGGTCTGTGGATTGTAGTATGGTTATCCTTTATTTTGTGACTAATATTCCCCTTTAAGTGAGTACATGCTATGTTTATCTTATGGAGTCTGGGTTACATCATTCAGGGTGATATTTTCTAGTTCTATCCATTTGCCTGCAAATTTCAAGATGCCATTGCTTTTAACAGCTGAGTAATCTTCCATTGTGTAAATGTACCACATTTTCTTTATCCATTCTTTGGCTGATGGACATCTAGGTTTTTCCAGGTTCTTGCTATTACAAATAAAGCTTTTATGAAGATAGTTGATAAAGTGTCCTTGTGGTAATGTAGAGCATCCTTTGGGTATATGATCAATAGTGGTGTAACTGGGTCTTGAGGTAGATCGAGTTTCAATTTTCAGAGAAACCACCATATTAATTTCTAAGGTGTACAGCCATACAAATTTGAACTCCCACCAGCAGTGGAGGTGGAG